TATGCTGAAGATATCACCAAACCCCCCCACCCCATCACAGAGGAATGAGGGACCTACCCGCTCCATCCGGTGAACAATACCTCCTTAACGACCAACCCTTAACAATCATAGACAGGTTTCAGGTATTACAGGAGACAATCCCCCCCCTTAATGGCAATCCCCCCTTTAACGACCGACCCCTAGAATCACAGACAGGTTCAGATATTACAGGCTAACGATGGAACTAACGACCCATTCACCGGTTACCATTGCATGTTTCCAAGCGATACCAGACCTTGTCCACATAAGTCTCAAACTCACTGCGGATCCAGACATTTGAATTGAGAAAGCTTCCTGGAGAGGTGGAGAAATGTCTTCAAATCTTGAAAACCAAGTCCAGTGGATATTTTTTGAATTTTTACGGAATAGTCGGAATTGTTGGTCCCCATAAGGAAAGTTTCTCTTCTTGGGGTGGGGGTTAGGTTTAGGACTAAGGTGTGAATTGAGTTTAGGTTAGGTTTAGGGATAGGTATGTGTCGGTAATGGTTAGGGTTAGGGCAAGGGTCACGGTTAGGCCATGTACATTAGTGGGAAATGAATGCAAGTCAATGGAAGGTCCCCACAAGGATATTGTGACACAACATGGGTGTGCGTGTGTGTTTACCTGTCTAGCCCTCAGTCAGGATCATTTTTCCAATTTCACCATCAGATTGAGGACCAGTTGTTGCAAAGTGAGGACATTTTGCCTCATATGCTATTTTGCTAATGGTTAGTTTTAGGCCTAAGGTGTCACTGGATTAGGGTTGGGTATGCACTGGTAATGGTTAGGTTTAGGGTTAGGGCATAGAAAGTGTTGAAAATGACTGAAAATCAATGGAAGGCGACACATGGTCCTCACTATGTATAGCAGAACGAGTATGCATGTGTTTGTGTTCTGTTAAAGAAACCATATTGAGACCAAAGACTATAATGTCTACAGCTTTCTGTAAAAGTATTCATCCCATTTAAGCAGCAGTTTCAGTCGAGGCCTTCAGTGTGTGTGTTTTATGATGTGTGAATGGGAAGAAAATATGTCATTTCCTGAAAGATTTTAAAAATAATCTGGAATTGGCTGCATTTGTATTTGGTGCTTTTTAGATTCCTGAGCTGCAGGTGGTTTTGGGTCCATATGTCTCCTGAACATCGTTTTTCTTGTGAATAGCTTTACCTTTGTCAGTGTGAATGGATGTTTTTTTTTTAGTAAAGAATGTTTGTTATTAAATATCCCCACATATATAACTGGATAAACTCCAACCAGGTTTAGACTTAAACAAACTTTATTGTCATTTTTTACACACAGGGTATACAAAAATAAATTTCGATATGTACAGCTTTCAAAAATGAATGAGAAGCTTACAGCAGTGAAATGAACTTTAGCATTTATAAAGCGCAGCAGTGATTAGAAAGTAAACTACTGTATGTAGGAGAAAAGAAAAAATAGTTTGAAAGTCATGGTGCAAAAGGCATTGGTATGGAAAGGTTCAGTGTAGTGCAAAATAAATAAATATGGTACAAAATGCAGTAGAACATTGAGTTCTATTTAAAGGGATTATGGGAAAAAAGGCCATGTTGGTAGTGCAAATCTGTTTTTTAATTGTGATAAGTTGATTAGTTTCAAACAGTTCAACAGTCTGATGGCAGCAGGGAAAAAGCTGCTGCTGGACCTGCATTGAATGCAGGGGTGAGGGGTCATTGATGATGTCACGGGCTCGGGACACACAGCGCTGGGATGAATTGACTTTAATGGAGGGAAGAGGAGCCCCCATGATGTCTCTCATGAAGAGGTTTTTTTCTTTTTAAGTGTCAAGGTATCCCTATGCTGCTAATAACATGAGTCATGATGGGAATGGTGTGTTAATGAGGATATTCAGGGTTAGTTGGAACACCTATAGTCACATCTGAGCAGAGTACCTTCTTCCCCATGTCTGCATGTGTCCCTGATATGGTTTGAGACCTTTTCAATCATGCTTTTAAAAATTCTTCTCTACACCCCCATGAAAGTGCATAGAGACTAAAGAACACTTTCTAGATGTTTTAATTTTATTAACAATTGATAATTTCACCGTAGAATTCAAGCTTTTTATCCGTTAGACAAATTTCAAATAGAACATATTAAATCTAATTATAACATAGTCACTTTATAAAAAATCTAAAGGGAAAAGAATACTTATGAATTCCTGCACATGATTAAAACCTATGAGGACTTTAATGGTTACAGGTGAGACGAAAAAAGGTGACACTGATTAAAAGGCAAATGCCACCATTTGTATAAACATTTCCATCTGCTCTTTCTCAAATCTCTCAGGTTTGATTTTATAATGTATAACAATATCTCTCACTTTCCACACAAATTTGACATTTCTAACATTGTTAAGCAAATTCTCTGCCCCAAAGCAGGCAATACATTTAACTGTTGTCATATTAAAACCGTAATGGCTTGTCAAAGAGGTTTTTGACTGCCCAACACCAAGTAGAGAGTGACTGTAAAGGGAAAGGTAAATTATATATATATATATATATATATATATATATATATATATATATATATATATATATATATATATATAAATAAATGAAAACTGGTATGCATTTAGTCTCATTTATAGACTACATTAACACATTTTTCATTTGCTTGGCTTGCCCTAAAACAATAACGGATGAAGATAACCTAAGTATTAAAGTAGCTTATATATATATCCATTTGAATTGCTACATGTAGCATGTAATAAAAGTGGATTTCCTCCCTAAATAACGTCAAGAGTTTACAATACCTGGCAACGGGTCTTTAACTTCACCATGTTGAAAATTTAACACATTTATCATCTGATTGACCTGTTGAATGTTCACTGGAAAAGGTCAGCTTATAAAAATAAATTTCTGAGGAAATATAGAGGATTTTATGTACAAGTAATTCTAGTTTAATGACCAGTAGGAAAGTACTAATGTTACATGTTTGTCCACATTTAGATAACGTCTCACTTTGGTTTGCTGGCATTCCAACATCTTAAAAATCACTTTATCTTTTAACAGGTTACAAAGTACTTTAGTAGACGTGCTTCTTTTTTAAAGGTCTTTTATTCTTTTTGGAATGCAAGTTTGAGCTCAACTTTCTCAAAAAAAAGTAACACAATCTGTTCATTTATGATGAAAACAAATGGAGGTAATTTTTTCCTCAGTTACAGATCATAAATTTGCATTTTTTTATTTTATTGTTTCAGGTGATTTTTTTTTCTTCAAAAATTCTAATCTGATTCTTATTTCACAACAAAGGTTCAACCAGAACTAATCTGTACCTGGGTTACTTTCTCCACATGCATTTAAAAAAATCAAACACAACTGAGAATTTCAGGCAATATTTGCAAAAGTAATGTTCAGAGATTTCCCCTTTAATCTGAGAGCTGGCACTTTTTTCTTCAGAGAAGAAAACTAGCAATAATAGATTTTATTGTTGATAATTATTTTTTAAATGATTTTGAACCACAATCATTTTTCTTCCTCTACACAATTCTGAATTATAGTTCTTTAAATAAATAAAATATTTGTAACTTGGATTAATGTGACAAAGTTTACTTATACGTTCTTAGAATTAAACCTTTCATTTTGGCGAGAAATGAAAAATTGTTTTCATGCATATTTAAAAAAAAATAATAGCTATATAAAGTGTTTGTGAAGCAGTTTTACTTTGGCGGCTTTCAAACTGATTTAGATATTCAAATAACTCAAAACATAGGAACGGCTGATAGGAGATGTTCAGTGCAATTATATTTAGATAAATATTATCAATATGTTAAAATTTATACTGATGCATCAAAAATAACTGAGAAACTAGGAATAGCATTTGTAGTACCAGAATTCAATATAAAAATAGGAAAACGAATTACAGATGGATTATCAGTATACACAGGAGAAATGTTGGCAATATTATTAGCGTTACAATGGGTAGAAGATATAAAACCATTAAAAACAATAATATGTTCAGATTCAAGCTCTGCATTGTTAAGTTTAAAAAATAACCAAACAGATAGTAGGATGGACATTTTATTAGAAATATATCATACACTGTTCAGAATATGAAACATGGTGCTGATAGTTACATTTGTGTGGGTTCCAGCACATATTGGGGTAGAAGGAAACGAGAGGGCAGATAAAATGGCAAAAAGGGCAATTAAACATTCTATTCGTTTTATAGTTAAAATAAGTAAATCAGAAGGAAAGAGTATTATTAAAGAGAAACTAATGGAAGTTTGGCAAAAAAGGTGGGATGAAGATAAAACAGGAAGATGGTTTTATAAAATTCAGAAGATGGTAGGAGAAAGAAGAAATGGAAGAAGAAATAGAAAGGAGGAAAGAGTGATAACAAGGTTAAGATTTGGTAATACAGGACTTAAAACATAAAACTGGCAAATGTGATTACTGTGATAAATATGAAACCATAGAACATGTTATATTAGAATGTCATAAATATGAAAAAGGGAGAAGATATATGAGGAGAGAGTTTGAAGACATTAAGGAGAAGGTTAATTTATTAGATATACTGAGGAAAAATTTAGGGAGTAAACACATACAAATAATTATTCGATTTCTAAAGAAAACGATATTATTTCATAGACTTTAATTATAGTAAGTTTGTTTGTGAGTGAAGGAATGATATACAAAGCTGTGCACAAATATGTATATATTTTTAAGTGTGAATGTGTGAATGTATGTTTAGAAGAAGTTAGGGTAGAGTATATGTAAATCAGGATAAATATTTAAACCATCACGAACCACACTCCATACCAGTAAGTGGCGGTAATGCTACTAACAGTTTGTTGCCAACCGCCATAAAACTCGACAAGAAGAAGAAGAAGAAGAAGAAGAGGAACGGCTTCGTTTCTAGCCGGAACGTTTAGCGTGTCGGACAGAGGAAGGAACACTTCCTCCTCCTCCTCAGCTGTTTGCTAACTGTAGAATAACAGAAGGACATGTAGCAGGAGAAAGAAATCATGTTTAATTTAAAGTCACTGCAGAGAAACAAAACAATCAAGTATGGAGTTCCTATGCTTGTAAGAAAAATCTTACATTAAACGTCTTTATGCGCCTGAAGGGACTAGTAGAGGTTTGGTTTTATATTTAGCCTTATATCGGTTACTTGCCTAAAAACACTTGGATTATGGAAAACTTCCATTATAACAGATGTTTAGACATAATTTTTCTAATTTTATTTCGACATTATTGACATGATATAATTTGATATATTTCAACGCCCTGTCTTTTCTGCCGCTGTTAAATGAATAAACATGGAAAACAATCGTTTGATTTGCTTCATTAATATTCCATTTTGAAAATTAAAAGCAGCTATTAAATAACATTTACGTAATAAACCTTTTACCTGAAAACAACAGTTCAACTGTTTTTGTTTTAATATACCGTATGTACACTTTAATGCAGCATCTGGTTTCACTGTTCTCCCAGTTGACATATCTTCCTCTTTATCTTATAAAATCCATGTTTGATTTTAATTTTTGTTCTTTATTTTGTCTTGTTTTCAGCTGCTGGTCGTCGGCGGCTCCTTCGGTTTGCGGGAGTTTGCTCAGATCCGTTATGATGCCCAGAAGATCAGGAAAAGGGTTTGTTTCAACATCATCTCTTTATTCTGATTCCTTCACTTTACTAACAACTCAAACACAAACTTTGCAGGACCGTGTAAAATGCATACACGCCACCTAGTGGCTAGAACTGTAAGTGCAAAAAGAGGATGCATATATAATAACATATTTGATTTAAATAGATGATTTAATGTTAGATTTTAAACGCAAACATACATTTCTTTCCTTTTTAAGAATAGAGCATGATATTTTTCTTTAAAAGTTGAAGTTTTTTTTTTTTTTTAAATAAACACGCTGCTTGTAGAAGAAAAATCCCCCAAACATTAAATGTGTTTTCTTGCCTGTTATTCTGTGCTTCCAGACACTATTTAAAAGTCTTAACATGTTTATAATTGATTTTACTTGCTTTTTCATCTTTACATTTAATTTTGATATTAGCCTGGTAGATTATAACAATATATGTAATGGTATTGGAATATCATGGATTATATGGTAATAGGACCAACGTGTTGTGGCGCGTGCTGTATAGCAGCACCCTTTGCAATACTCACTCCTACTGTCGCCACATGCTTATCCAGGAAGAGAGATTGCTGCAAGCTGCCAATTCGATGCAATCTACTTGGTTTCCCTTAAAACTTTCAGTTAATTTGAAAAATTTACATAACTTGACAGCAGTGTTAAATATTTGAATACATTTTCAGACTACATGAGTTGTTCATAAGCATTTTATGGATAAAATGAATTTAAACCGAATTGAATGCATAAGTTATGACCTCTGTCCTTTGTTTACTAAAGCTGAAGCGCGGTTATGGTCACTGCCTTCATGTGGCTCCAGTGCAGAAACACCCGCAGGCTTGATATTATGCTTTCAATAGTTGTAGCACTTAGCCTATATAAATGTTGCTGAGTTTAAAGAAAAGAAAGGAGAAACACGTCCACTTGGTACCATTTGCCCACCCGACCTGGGAAAAGTTTGGTAAATTGATCCGACTGTGAAAACAGTTGATCTGCAGCCCCTTAAAGGTGACCTTAGAGATTTTCTTTTCCAGGAGTCATACTTAGCCTTTCAATTGTAACATTTCTTCTAGGAAAGTCATCTTTGTAGATTCAGAGGTGTGCGGGGTGATGCTGAAAACACTCTGCAGTGGCAGCTTTCCAGCAGACATCCAAAGGTTTTGGATGAAAACCTGCTGCTATTTATAATTGATCATTTTCATCCACCTTGAGGGAAAATAAAAAAAACAGGCCTAGACGGCGATACTAAAACATTTTTCACTATAGGTTAGTTCCTTTTTTTTTAAATCATAGTCAGTTTTGCTTTTGGACCAAAAAAATATCCCTGATGATGAAGTGGTTCAAAGGTTCATCTTTACTTTGATTGGTCCATTCTTTGACAAAGCTTTGCTTGATTTCTGATCGCTTTGACCATTTCTTTTGGAGACTAACAGACATTCTTGCATCCTGCGTCCCTTTTTCTAAAAATCAGGAGAATACAGGAGACTGACATGACACGGAAAAATAATAATTATTGCTGTTTGGAAATTCCTGTAGCTTTAGTAAAAGTGTTGATCTTTTTGCAGCCTTCCACACCAGTTTGAGTCTTCCATTTTTATTATTTTTTTTAATAAATACCCATTTCTCTATGCTGCTCCTGTTGTCTTCAGTCATTAATGGCTGCCATCACTCTATCCCTGTTCATGTCTTATTTTGTTCAGATCTTTTTATACTTTTCTCCAGACTGATGCTTTTGTACCATGACATCATTTGTAAACTTTATAAAAGCACGGCAGAAGCTCCAAGACACCAACATAAAGGCTGATTCAATTGTTCTCCCTTTTTCACTAAATATCATTTACATGTTGAAAAGGTTTTTTGAATTTACAAAACACTAGGATTTAGAAAGAGGTAATAACACGTTTGGAAAAAAAAAGAAAAACCCCACTGTAGATGTGAACAGCAGCCTGATGCATGTCTGGACGCTGCAGCCACTAAGGTTTTATCTTTAGGGGTAAGTTCTGCTGTTTAGTGTTAAAGAAGAAAAAAGTTTGACTTTTTCTTTCGCTTTATAGCCAAATATGCTTTAAACCTCTCAAAAAAGTAAACTAAGTCCTTGTTTTGCTCAGTGATCATAGTTTTTTTGTTCTGTTTAGGTTTAACTGAATTTTAATTCCTTAAATATTTACATTCAATTGTAGTAAATCTTTGCAGTGGATGGTTAAATGTTTGTCAACTTCTCTAAGCACAAGAAATTGTAATCTTCATAACAAATGTAAGGTCCACCTCATGTGGACTTTTCTAAATGTTTTTCTTTATACATATTAATAAATAAAAAGAAAAAAATTTAGACAAGTGGACATTTAAGATAAAAAAAAAAAAAATGATGTGAGAATATGCTCTATCCAGAACTCCTTCAGTGGAAAAGTTTGACTTTCATCTGGTTTGATTTCATTAATTTGTCTTTAAAGGACCTTTGGAGCTCCGGTTATTAATCGTTTAATTGATCTAAGAATGATTAGTTGCAGCCCATATATATATATATATATCTTTCTTTTTTTTTCATATAGCTTTCAGTCTAATGAGACTTTACTAATATTTAGGAGAATCTGACCATTTGCTCCCATTGCTTAAGGTTTTACTGTGCTAAACCTAAAAGGAAAGGTTAAATAAAATTCCAGTATTTAGGAAGTTGTGCAAATATTTCCTCAGTGATGTAAAAAAGAAATAGAAAGATGTGAAACAGGTCTAATGTTTCATGAAATGGAAACGACTTAGTTAAAATGCTGATTATGTAAGCAGAAGCCGTCTGCGGAGCTCCACTGCAGCGATGGACTCTGCTTCCAGTCATCTGGGATGGAGCCAGATGGTTGGAGCGTCTTTTGCTCCTGTTCATGTGAGGCAGTGGAGGATGATGGTGGATGAGCGCGCCCTGCCCCAGGCCTTGTATCTGTGCCCCCCCCCCCATAGCTCACGCTCCTCCTGCGAAGGTGTGTGAAGCACACAGAGCTGCTCCAGCCCCGTGGAGTAGTGTCGCCCCCCCCCCCCCCCGCATGCAGTTTAATGCAGTGAATGTTTAAACGGGGGAGACATGCACATTCTTAAAGCACTCTTCAAGCTTTAGCTTGGATTGGGATCAGCTGATTGCATTAGCCAGCTCTCTCTCAGATATCTCCTACATGCTGAAACCGCTGTCGGAGATTAAGTCCAGCGTGATTAAATTTGCATTTTCTCCTCAATGATTTAATTTAGCCTCAAGGCGAGGATGAACTCCAAGGCTCTTTATTCCTTGCAGGACTTCTTTCTTTTTTAGCTTTTTAATGGCTTCGTGTATTGGATGTTTTTGTATTAAGTACAGCTAGTAGACGGTAGGCTACTAATTGTTCAGGCTATTCATTCTCTGGCTTGACAGCTGTAAAATATTCTATAAATAATTTATTAGCCATGGTAATGTAGGTCTAATTAGTCATCAGTCATACAGAAAAAACCCTTAGCATTGTTACAGTGAAATATTATGAACTCATTAAAAGTAATGATCAGCGTGGGATTGATTTCAGAGCTATTCTTGGGGAGAATGTAGAACCCTGTAAAGCTGCTCTGGACCCGACCTTTGACCTCTGACACAAATATGTATCAAAGATTTATTTTTTTTTTGTTAAACTTGAACTTATGGAGGATTATTGATGCTAAATAGGTCGACTTTATAGTCACAGAAATTGATTCTTCTCAAATTTTTGGAGTGGCAGCTTTATTTTGGTCCAAATTGTCACTGCTTTTCCAAAATATGAACCCCTCTTGATTTATTGATTTATATGTATTTAGAAAATGCAGTAAAACCATAAGGCCAATAATCCAAGTTTATATTTATTCTCTAATTAATTAAGTCTGGACTTTGGGCCTTGCTTTAAAGTCTGCCCTCAGTATCATACAACAATCTCCGTGTTTCTCTGTCAGTTTTCTCCTTTTATGATGGTATTTTGCTTTACAGTGAAAAATGTGGGTTTTAAAAGTAATCTTACCCCATATAAGTAATAATAATGTATTATAATGTATTACAGGAACTCTTAAAGCAAATGGAGCAGTGAAAAATGTTCTGTTCTTCATCTGTGGTTTTGCAGCTGGATCCTTCACTGGAGGCGAAGGTGAATCCACAGAAGCAGGCGGTCATACTGGAGGAGGAATATGAGGTAAGGAGAGCGAGGCGTAGAAACGCTGTGGATGAAAACAGGTTAGCCTGCAGTCTATAGCAGGATTCTTTGTCTGTGCAGCTTTAAATGAGTTTAAACAGTTATTGCACAGATTAGGGGTCTAAAACCTGCAACTCCTGAGCCATAAGTGGCTCTTTGGTCCTTTAACAATGGCTCTTTATTGGCTAAATGTATAGTTTTGAATATAGTATAATAATAAGTAGCTTGAAAAAAAATTAATAAATTGAATTTCCATAACAAAATGGCATTGAAAGAACTAGAAACATGTTTTTAAATCGAATGTTTTTCCTTATTAGCTTGAAACGGGTTTATTTTATATAATTTTCCGCAGATATCGACATCCAGGCAAATCCATATTGCTTCTTTTTCATTATTCAAACCTAAAAATACAAATAAAATGGGTCTTTAAAATGGCGGCTACTGTCATGTAGCAGATATTTAACAATAAATAGTTTATCCAAAAAAATTTTTCATATTTGCAGCACTAATCAACTTATTTCACTGGATTTTGAGCAAAACAGCTCATTGTGTGTTAAAGGTCTCAGACTCCTGCTATAGGGCATGCTTGCAAAAGGATAAGGGCGGGGGGGGGGGGTTTATCTGTTTTTTGTTGTTCCGATTTGAAACACTAGATGTCATTACTTGTTGCTCCATACATGAAAGGTTGAGTGTAAGGAAAAAGTCTCATAGAAACACATGCATATGTAGCTGCAGCCTTGAAGCAGAGTGTAACGGTAGCTGCAGTCGTATTTATGGCTGAAACTGAAGAAAAAAAAAAAAAACAGCTTTTTTTTCTTTTTAATCTTTCCAGAAGTTGAAGGAAATTCATTTAGACGAGTGGAAGAACATCCGTGGTCCTCGTCCCTGGGAGGACTCCAGGGAGTACCAGGAGCAGCAGCGCAAAAATCTCAGCAAAACAGACTGAGGCTGCGGCCCGCGCTCGCTGTACGCACGCACAGAAACACCAGATCACAGAAGACACAGCAGAGCCCCACGGAGACGACGCCACTGATGTTTGCTTATCCTCCACGCTGCCTGCAGCTCTCAGCCTGTGTTGGACCCGAGTCCTTGGAAACGTTCTATTGGAGTAAATACTGTTGGTTTCTTCTGTTCGTAAATTATTCAGAACCACTATTTAAACATTACTGTTAAAATCTGTTAATTCAATAAAATGTGTTCCTAAAACAAGTTGATCGGGAGTTTTACCAAACAGCCAACAGGTGGCATTTCACCTCCAGCTCCAACGAGGAGATTTTATCAATAAATTATTACTTTTCTTCCTAAAACCTAAATTTGCTCCACGTTATTTACCCAAAAAAATAAAGAAATTCCCAAATAAAGGTCTGTTTACAAGGATATTGCATTGATTCACCTGCTTCAAAATAGAAAAGAATAAATAAGAGGAGAGCTGTGCGTTTCCTCAGGCTTTCCAGGTCTCAGCAGTAATCTGTTTCTCTGACAGTTATTACTTCTCACTGCAGCGGATTGATTGTGTTTGTTATGAAAATAGTTTTACTTATGCATTTTTTTGTCAAACAAAACAATGTAACAGCATTTTTGCTGCAGGTTTTATGACTTGGATCTGTAGGTATATGTAACCTCTGGGTGATTGACGAGCGGCATGTTCGGCGGTGAAATGAGCCGTCTTAGCGGCTGCTCTCGCCTGGAACATTGTCATAAAGAAACATTTTCTATGATCACGTTTCTATGATGTTGGGTCAGAAAGTAACTGTAGCTCACCACACAAACCAGCTTCCTTAAACCAGTAGCTTCACTGTTGCTCCATTCTGAAGCCTATAGGTTGTTAATTCTGTGGGAATCTTTTTTTTCTTTATATTTATTCTCCAATTGATGTCCCTTACATTTTAATCTCTTAGACTTAGACTCAGCTTTATTTATCCCTTGGTGTTAAAATGTATTCAGGGAAATTCTGCTTCCAGTAGCTTATATAAAAAACAAACAGTTAAAGCAAGATGCCATTAAAGTAAAAAAAATAAAACTTCCTATCGTCTCTTCTTCTCCCCAAGTCAGGAGTTTTACAGCCTGATGGCTTGAGGAACAAAGAAGTTCAGCAGTCTGATGTTGCTGCATTTAGGGAGGAGCAATCTCCCGTGGATCAGGTTCTTCTGGGAGGTGAAGGCCGTGTGCAGAGGGTGGCTGGCATTGTTAATAATGTCCAATAGTTCCTTAGTTCCTTCCTTAGTTCGTTCCTTAGTTCCTTCCTTAGTTTGTTCCTTAGTTCCTTCCTTAGTTTGTTCCTTAGTTCCTTCCTTAGTTTGTTCCTTAGTTCCTTCCTTAGTTCGTTCCTTAGTTCCTTCCTTAGTTTGTTACTTAGTTCCTTCCTTAGTTTGTTACTTAGTTCCTTCCTTCCTTCCTTCCTTCCTTCCTTCCTTCCTTCCCTTATCATTTCTGTCTCTTTTCCCTTCCTTCCTTGTATCCTTTCCTTCCTCCTGCCTCTTCTTGCCTTTTTTCCACCTTTTTAAAGTATTTTCTTCTGTTTCTCTTCATTTCTCTTCATTTCTTTTTGTGCTTTCCTCCGTGTCGTTCCTTGTGCCCTTCTTTTGTTTCTTGTATCCGTACGCCATCAGTCAGTTCCAGATATTTAGAGGATTCAAATGAACCTATCTTTGTAATCAATTGTTGGGAAATCTTTGAATTTAAATTAAAAAGCTTGAAATAGCGGTTTTACATGACGGATAAGCAGGAGTCCCACCTGAAACAGTTTTAATTTGAACCTGTGGGTAGAATTTAGAGCAGTGGAAAAACTGAGTTTGATGGTTGATAAACATGTCTGAGTTTTTTTAGCTAATGTGTATAAAATATAACTGCTTATAATAATTTTTCAAAGATGTTTAAACTCTATAAACATTTTTATTTTGCAGTTAGATTGAAGTTTCACATAATAGAACAACAAAAGCTCAGTCATATTTGAAAAATGGATATTAAAGAAAAGTAATCTGATTTCTAAGCTTCTGTTTGGGTGCCACCAGTCTCAGCGCATCTTTTTGAAGAACCAGTCTGAATATGCAGCCATCCCAGTTGCAATCTGGAGACTGAAATTCTGCCTGTTTTTGTTTTTTGCAAAATAACTCAAATGCAGTCAAATGGATGTAAAAGTATTAATGAAATATTGTTTTTTACACATATTCCTAAAGCTCTGAACTTTGACTGTACCGTCCAACTCTTAGTTTTTTGCAGGCCCTATATATATAGATATATATAGATTATTTTTTTCTTTACATTTTTCCTTAAATTTTCCTTAAATCAAGAATGTATAAATTGTGATTGTTATTAAAAACTCTTATAACATTACAACAAAAGGAGATGTTTCCAGCTGCAACAACATGGTTTATAACGAGCGATAACGAGTCGTCTTTAAGTGTTGTTTTAATGACCTATGTGCAGTGATGACGTCGTCTGGATGGCTGCTGAAATCCTCTGAGATCACCATCAACACATCGAGGTGTTTGTGTTTATATCATAGCAACGATGGAGCTGAGATCCTCATATAATCCAAGCAGAAGCAGCTGTCAAAACAACAGCTGATCTCTGATTTGTCTAATTCAGATAAAACCTGTTTAATTATCAGAGTCTAAAGACATCGGTAACAGAAGCATGTTTTCAATCCCACCATATGCTTCAACACGGCTCCTTCCACGGCTCTCTATGCAGTTCGGATCACAGATAAAATCGTAGCTGATGTGCTGGAGAGCCAGATATTTGTCTGCAGTTAGATCAGTTTTTTCCTCCAGATCTTTTCATTTTTCTAGTTTATTTTCCAGTTAAATTCCCAATTACATTAAAAAGTAGCTCTCAAAAATGTTCACACTGGTGTTAAAATGTGTTTATTTTTTTTACTTGGACAATGATTCAGTTTGTTTTCCCACATTTCCCCTCATATCCTGTACAACTAGGTGAAAAAAACCCAAAAAATAAAGCAAAGGAGCAAAATAATAATATGCTTTATATAGATTAAAAACTACCATTACCTGATTGTGCAAACAAAACAAAACAAAAATACTGAAAAAAGATTTATTTTCAGAATTTGTTCAGTTTGAGCTGACATCTCCGATAAATTCTTGAATATCTGATTAATCTTACATTCATTTTAGCTTTCCTAGTAGGAATGTGATGTCATTTCCTAATTTTTATTAAAAGTCACTGTTAAAAAGGATCGGACAGAAATTATTGTACAAAGGTATCAAGAGCTTCCAACAAAAGATCAACAGCATTTCACAGAAACTGTTGCAGACTGTAGGTTAGTTCTGGCTGCGGGGATTATGGGACTACTGGGAAATTAGAAACTAGCCATGAGGAGAGCAGTACTGCTGAAAGAGTCTCCAGTAAGTACTGGTTATGGTCAGTGTGTCATAACAGACGCCTGCATTCTGTATTCATGCAGCAGTGAATAGAGTTACAAGAAGGAATATCCTAAAAGCAAAAAAGATATTGCAAATAATGTGATGATCTATAATATCTAAGTTTAACACATTGACATTAATTCCAGTTTGCCTGCTGGACAAGAAAACAACACATCACCAAAATGGCCGTATACATTTAACAGGAAAAGTGGTGGCAGCGTCATGATCTGGGCCTAAGAATAAAAGGAGCTTTTAATGCCTTGAAGCCTGAATTGATATAAATGTTTATAAAAAATAAATTATGTGTGTGTTTTTCCGCTTCAATGAGATGCCAAATTAAAATGATTAATATTAAGAAAGAAATAGAAATGAAGGTAAAATATATTTTTTAACAGCAGTTATAACTGCACATAATGATAACATTACCTAAACTAGCACTGAGGTGATGGAAAAACGCTATAGTGGCTGTTTGCCTACAGTGCAAAAATGTTCTGAAAATCAGTAAAAAATATCTTAAAATAAGTGTATTTAACCTTAATATGAGTAGAAAAATAGCATTTTTACACTTAAAATAAGATTATTAGGTATTATGCACCTAAAATAAGAAAGACTGCAGTTGTTCTTTCTTATTTTAAATGTACATGTCTTGTTCCAATGGCAAAGTGTCTGAATTAGCTGCTCAATTCAAGAAAATTTTTTCTTATTTTAAGAAAAATGGACTTACTTGCATAGATTTATATTTTTTGCAGTGTAACACAAGCGTTTTGTTGCTTTTTAGCAACAACAGGCGTCAACGGGTTAAGGATGCCATTTTAAAGGAATATTCAAGGCTGGTGCATAAAAGAATAAGATACATGATCTGTTCACATTTAAGGCACTTAAAGGAGGCTTCAACTTCTCACTTTGATCCTGGGAGAATTAATTTTTTAATGCTGCTCTATTCTCCTCCCATAGCTCTGCTAACAGATGTGCTGCTCTTCTATCCACTTCTGTTTTCTCCACTTTTTTCCCTTCTTTTTATGTCATTCATTTTGCCAAATCACTCGCTGGACACAGTAAAAGGTTTGAAGGCGTGTTAATATCAAATTAAAGTATGGTGAGTTTACATAACAAATAAGCCGATGCTGGTGGAGTACCTAAAAGCTTTAGGTAGCTCTACTTCATCATATTTTTACTCAAGTAAAAGTAAAAAAGTAGCCTTTGAAGGAATCACTCAATTAAGATGAAACACTATTTGCTAAGAAGACTACTCAAGTAACTGATCTGCTTACTACGCATCAGGGACATGCATGGATAGACACTAGGTGGTGCCCTCCTGAAGTCATTTTATAGTTTTAACTTTTTTTAGTCTTTGGCCCAAAATACCATTTATGAATTCAAAAGCCTGTCAAACCCAGAGTCTAATTTTATGTAATGTTGCTCCCGTGAGACATGCAGCCCCACCTCAATAGAGCGTTGCCATGGTGAAGGGCCGGCAAACCGTCCAGGTAACTAAGCAAACATAAAAACCTCCTTCACAACTGTTTAGCTGATAGCAAAACATCTTTAATTGCCTCTACCAGGAACCAAGGGAGGGTTTAAAATGCAACTCTTTGATTAAATTAGAAAAAAAATGTAACAAAGCATCTCATAGATGTAATTATTGATTTTCGGTAATGGTCTCTGTCAGAGACTCCCTGATGATGATCTATTTGGCTTGTTTCTGATGACAACTACAGCACTCAGGTTACCTTTTGTCTGTTAAACATTTGATTTAAAAGCAAACATAAGAACAAATGATTACAGTTCGTAAAAAATAACTTTTAAGGTATAGTGGAGGATTTTCATGAATTTTTGAAAAGACCCGCCCACTCCACTTTCAAAAGAAAATGCACATGCACAACCCTGTACCCGCTCCCAGGAGGGACGCCTATTAAACGTGTGCAAGAGCGTGCACGAGACAATTTCTCCTCGTGCACGCTCTGTTTAGAAGTTGCTTTTTGCATCGCTCATACAAGCTTACTTTCAAAAAGAAGATTTACAATTTTTCCACTATGTAAAACTCACCGATAAGTGAGAATGGGGACGAGCATGAAGGACGGCCTTACATGAACATATCACCAGAATGATTGACAATCAGGAGGACCACTTATTTAGATGATCCACCCAGAAAAACAACCTCCTCCACTATAGCTTTAAAATAGTTCTACTCAGTTAAAGAGGGGTGTGTAGATTAAACAAAAAATGACCTCAAAATATGTAAAATTTTCAGAAAATAACTGCATTCCCCCATAATTTAAATGAGAGTTTATAACCTTAAAATACAATTATTACATTTTATGCATTTGCAATAAGATAGTAGAGTTTTTTTCACATTTTAAATGTAAATCTTAGTTAGTCTGCAAATTGTCATCTATACCCAATTAGCCTAACAATATTTTCAGGAATCCTGGGCTTTAAATTAGTGCATTTAAAAGTGTTATTTATTTAGTCGACA